TGTTGCTTATCACACAAGTAGTACCCCTGGGGCGAGACCAAGCTTTCAAAATATGTAACGGCAGATATACATTCGGTATATGTACGACCAAGAATTCGTAGGACACTATCATCCTTAGTATTGTACATAACAACTTGATCTCTGGCTACAATAATAACATATTCTCCATCTTCAGTCTCGAAAAGGGGCTCAGCAAATCCGACATAAGGATTTACTTCAAAATCCTTTATTACATATACAGATGTCCCTTTTTCCATACTCTTTCATGACCAATATCTCAAGTTATGCATAGACATTCCTTTAAAACTCCTAAACCAACCATAAATTTAAACGTATGGAATTTCTTAGAGACAATATCGAAATAAATTAATTCGTTATGAGGAGGTATCCTACCCCAAGCCCAATCAGTACGACATTTCAATTGAGGTATAATATAAAAATTATTGTCTAGGTAGCAACTATCGAAATTGCGTTTCTTGACTCCTACCATAAAGTGAAATCGTCCGTGCAAAGTAATGGCACCTCGGAACCAAGGGGATATAATACGAGAATTCTACCTTTCTCCACTCTTTGTCTTTAAAACTTGAAATTATAACATATTTATTGTCAACATAAACTGAGTATATAAAAAGTAGTGCCTTGTAGTCATTGTTAGAGGAGTCGAAACAAAGTCCCCCAAGCATATATAGTCATTGGTGCAAAATCCTGTGGTAGGGTTCCACAAGAATATATGCTCTTCCACGTTTATTAGTAGGATCGGATACCATGGCAAGAACCCAACAAATTACAGCCCAATGTAAAGCGTGGAATAGAATTACCATCCCTGTAGACTGGTATTTTACTGAATGGATACATGAGATCCTTAAAGATGATTTTTTGGCTAGGGAATAGGAAGGCGGGTATATCATGATATTTTCTGTAACAAAGTGCAATCGCTCCTCGTCGTCGTTGATTCGACAACTCGAATTTAAGATCTGAAATCCAAGAAAGCCATGGCTTAGAAATAGTGTTTTAAAAGGTGTTTTCGAAGTGAGGAACATCAAAACTGCTCCGAGGCGATGGTGTGGGGCGAAAGTCTCAAGAGGCGAACGCCCAGCAATTCGGGGCGTATGCCCGGGGGTTTGAGGCGTGTTTTAGTGGTGAGATGTAAGCCCCAGAGACTTTTTCAAATTAAAACAAAATTTGTTGAATAAGTCCTTCATATAATACCCAAATTCTCAAAAGTCAGCTTGTAATTACTCAAAAGTTTTAAAAAGGAACTAAAATGTATTAAATTTAAAAGTCAAGACCTTTTTTATTGATTGAAGCCCTAATTTATGGTCTTTCCCAATTCTTTATATTGTCCGTTAGTCTGCTAATATCTCCCAAAAGCAATGTATATTCAATTTTTTTTGCATATACAAAGAGAACTCCATTCTCCTTCATATCAGCAAGTTCAACGTTCAAATTGCAGGTTAGTAATCCTTTTTGTTTCTCCATGTAGAAAGCTTTATTCTTTTCGACTCAAATTACTTGTGGTTGNTATATATTTCACATATTTATAATTTTTTTTAATTTTTATGCAATTTTAAATACCCATGGGGCTTACGCCCTGTGCCTCGAGGCTTACGCCTCGTTGATACATATGTAAAATGTCTCGCCTTGCGCCCACGCCTTTTAAAACACTGCTTAGAAACACACTTGAATGGTAAGAGAGATTTCGCCGGTAAGTTTGAGAGAATACTTATAGTGGTATCTTCTCAAGTACATATTGATAGTGAGAATTTCATTATATTGTCAATGAATATATACAAGGTAAATGACTTAAAATCCTACATAATATTGTAATATATTATAGTATTTTTTTTAAGGAAATCGAGGAGGTAGGTTTACCTAGCTATAATTTGGTTAAATAATACATTATAGTGTAAGTACTACTCCTGTTTCAAAAACTGATTTTAAACTCAATAAAAGCCTCACAGATGAATATATCTATTTTATCAAGATAGGAAAAGGATTAAAACTAAATCTACCTTGATTTAATATTAGAATTTTGTTATAATTATGTAGGATGGTGTATATCGTGCAACACTGCTTCACATCTTTATTTACTAGAAGTTCGATTATCCTCCTCAGCAATTCTCCAAGAAATAGATTATGATTAGTGTATCTAGTTTTAGTTTGGGATGGCCTTGTGAAAATAGGAAGAAATACATAAATAGCCATTCTTTAGGCTGCTATTTAGGGATTAATCGGTACTTATTTTGTCCTGAAAATTTAAATTAAAAATCTTAATTTCAAGACTTTAAAAAATAAATTGAAAAGACATATTGACTAATTTCAAAATAGAAACCCTCTAAAATGGCTACCTGGTGTCATTTTTATATGAAAATAAGGGACGACTGGCAGGCCTAGCCACCAATGAAGGCCCATGTCAACTGTTATTTGGGCCTCACTGGATGTCAACATAATTTCCTCGAAGGAAACATCATTATTTCGTTAGGTAGAATTATGGAAAAAATATTTTTCTTAGAAAAATATATTAAACCGTAATTACGATTTACGAAAAGTTTAAAGGTCACAGCCTCAGAGGTTTTTAATAGTACAGTCAAATCTCTCTATAACAGTCTCGTTTGTTCCAGATATTTTTGGTTGTTTGTAGCGAATTACTGTTATAGAAAACATATATTATAACAGAATATGAAATTTGGTTTCGAAAAAACTTGATTTTTATAGTGAAGTGTTGTTATATAAGTATGCCGTGATGTAGAGGTTTTACTGTATATATCAAGAAAATCACTTAGAACTATGGCTTATAGCAAATCTTTAAGAAACTAACTTGATAGGAGTTCATTGAAATTCGAACTAGTAACACTAAAGTTCAAATCATCACTTTTTGATTAGCAAACTGTCCAGACCAACTTAATGCAAGTCTACTCAGTATGCATTTGTCAACATTTTATTTTATGTTCATTTGACTTCGATGAAAGATACTAAAATATACATAAGTTTTGCCAAATTTGGAATCTATTAGTAAGCAAGCTACAACAGCAAGATTGTAAGAAACTGCTCATTCAATATTGTCATCCTTACAACAGCAAGATTGTAAGAAATGTGCTCATTAAATAAAGGTTTAAGTTCTTCGAAGAAAGACAAGGGATGAAGACTAAAAATTTCTAAATCAAACTGCTTTTTCAAATTGACGAAAATTAAATGTGTCTGAAGGTGTCAGGAGCGGACCCACATAGGTTCAAGAGGATTCAACTGAACTCGCTTCGTAATATTTTTTACTATTTTTGAATGGAAGACAAGAGTGTGTTGTTCTAGTGGTAAGCACCCTCCACTTCCAACCAAGAAGTTGTGAGTTCGAGTCACCCCAAGAGCAAGGTGGGGAGTTCTTAGACGGAAGGAGCCGAGAGTTTTATCGGAAACAACCTCTCTACCCCCAAGATAGGGGTAAGGTCTGCGTATACACTACCCTCTGGTTTGTTGTTGTTGTATTTTTGAATGGAATTTTTTTTTCAACGAAACCAATTACTATAAAAGTAAAGAAATTGGATCCCTCTAACCAAACCTGCGCGATGGCCAAATGGTTCAAACTAGGTGAGCCGATAAAACGGTCGCATGTTCAAACCAATGATTCAGCATTATTATGATTTTTTCACTTTTTCAAAATGCTGACAGTTTCTCTATTTTTACATGCGCAAACTAAAAATTCACATGTGTTCTTGTTATGCACTTCTTCTTCGTCTTCTTTTATGTTTATTTTAGTTTACTCTCTTTTTACAGTTTTGGAATTTCTATATGAAATTATTAATTTAGCTTAGATTTTTTTTTTGTTAACAGTTAGTGCAAGTTAAAAATTAAAATTAATAAATAAATAGAGTTAAGTATTTTAACTTATGTTTGTTACAATAAAATTTGTATCAAAACTTAAGTTCAATAAATTATTAAAAATTAAAGGTAGATAGATATGTTGCTAAGATTTAGGTGCTTTATATATATATATATATATATATATATATATATATATATATATATATCAAAACGAAATAAAGAGATGCGGACAAATTTTTTGTAAGTTTTTGTTATCGATTATTTTTTAAAATTTCAGTATATGTCTGAACCCGCTTGTATAAAAATCTGAGTCCGCTACTGGAAGGTGTTATGTGATATTCATGCCTAGTCGTATTTGTCTAAAGATTTTTTATTATATATGTTAACAAACTAGTCAATTATCATTTTGGATTGAAAACTAATGAAGTACAACTTCAAACATAGAAGTTGACACCAGAAGTATGTTCAACTTAGAGCCGAAACTATACTTTTTATGGCATAAAGACCAAAGTATGTCCCTAAGTGAGTAAGACAGTAAGTGACAATCCAACGTTCAAGAGTGTATAATTTAAAGCACAAATCATGAGTTTATCCCAATCATTATGAGATAATCACCCTCCTTCAAGAAAATAAAACAATCACAATCATGTTAGTTTTTCTGTTCTGCCAAAAAAAATTCAACATCGACTTTTAACTTTGAGACTTCACTCCAAATAGTTCCTAAATCATAATAAAGAAATTTTAATCGAAGAATGAGGATAAATCAAGAAGAAACCTTTCAAAACTTGATAGATTTTGAGCTTGTTGTTTATGAACAAAATTCTATTTGCTTGTGAAATATGGACAAATTTATTAACAGTTTGTTTGGATGGTTGTTACCTATTGTATTATATCGTATTATTACTTTAAATACGATATTTGTTTTGATTGTTACTTAAATTTTATTGTGTCATATTACTCTACCTTTTTATATAATAATTTTACCATGTATCATAATTTTTTTTTATAATATTACAAGTTTATTCTTCATATTGCTGGTACATAATATCATGAAACAACGACAAACGATACAATCTATTCAAACATTATATTCATCAAACAATACAATACAGTATAATACGATACATTATTAAATGATATGTAACAACCATCCAAACAAGCTGTAAATGACTTGGTGGGCATTTGGGCTATTTGGCCGAATTTGAAAGAAAAAAAAAAGTTGAAGCTGAAGAAAAGTTACTTTATCTAGGTGAAATCATAAAAAAAAAAAGTTAAGGTTCAAAAGAATTTACAGAAAGGGATTTTTTTTGTCGAAATTGAAATAACAAAAGAACAATATTTGGAGCTAAAGTTTTCCAAATACAAGCGACTTTTTCTGGACTTTTGAACTCATAAATTTGGAAAAGGAAAAAGAAATTAGGTTGAGCCAAAGGAGAAGAATAAGAAAGGAAAAGGCCAGTCCTCTTTCTGTGAAGAATCAAATCAAAATGCATGCACCAGTTTGGGGTCCTCAGCTAGGAAATTTGTTCAATCATTCATGCCTAATAGCAAACAGGTTGCGGGCATTTTCTTCATCAGCTTACTCTAACCAGTCTCGCGGTGGCCTTCCTCGCTTCTACTCTGAGAAGCTCCCTCCTTCCAAGGCATTGTCCATTTTCTTCACACTCTACTTCCTCACTTGTATATAGCTGAACTTGTTGAGTTTTCCTTTTCTCAAATATCGGGTTCTTGATTGTATTGGAAAAAGAACAGGGTAGAGTGTTTATACAACCAATTCAATATGTTAAAAAGATTCGGACTTTATTGCATTTCTTTCGACTGTTAACAATTGATAAACTGAATTTTTTTTTTTATTACACTATTTAAAGGTTTCATAATGTTATAACTAATAACTATCTATAATCTGCAAGCTTTCTCCATTATCTTACTTAAGGAAGCTCACATAGGTAATTTCACATAAGTGGAATCAATTGAGTCCAAATAGAGGAAATGGATAATGAGGAGTATTGTATCCGACCCCAACTAGTTTGGATTGAGCAGTTGTTGTGTTATTTTCTTGTTCTGTTTTTACTCTTAGAGCTATATTCTTACTTTATTCAGATTAACTGATTTTAGCGCCTCAACTTATTGTTTTTTGATGCAGGATGGTGTTGTTCGTGTTAAAGGTGATGAATTCTGGCACATGACCAGGGTTTTAAGGTTGACAGTTCATGATAGGTACTGCCTTGTACCGTATCTTAAATGGTTACCAGTGATGCGCAACTATGTGCCAAAGAATGTCTTTAATGATTACACTCAATAATATGTGTAAAACAACTGTTCCTTTTGCACCAGTAGTTTCTTTCTCCTATGTGCATGGTTTAAGTCCGCCATGAATGGAAACTATGATGGCTTGTTTAAAAGTGTTATCTGCATTACCGTGTTTATTTTGAATAAGGAATGTGAACGGTTCCTTTACAACTACTAGCGTCCTTCCCTCCCCTAATTCTTGATCGAGATGTCCCCTTTTGGTGTTTGTAATATAGATTTCATATCTGACAATTCTATGAAGGATATGATTTTTCAACAACTAATTTTTGATTCCTTCTTAACATAAGTCAGAAAGGTTATCCTTGAAAAAACAAATATGTACCTGGGGTAATATTTGTGTGTGTGTGTACATATACATACACTATACAGATATAAAAGGATTTGAGTAGTACCATGCAATCCTATCAAACTGCACTCCGTTGAAAATTTGACATGTCTACAATCTCTATCTTTTAGTGTAGAATGAAAAATGTAAATCATTTTGACACTCTTTTGGAGTTTACAGACTCCATGTATCATTGATAGGAGCTTAAGTCCTCTATCTTGTACAGACAAACACTTTCTTGATGAAGTTTTTTGTTAATTATTTACTTAATTGTCAATTGAAATTGCTGTAAGTATCAGAAAATTGGGAACCAATTTCTTAAAATATGTAAATCAGAAACACTGGAATCTTAGAACTTATAGGACTTCTTTTATGAGGATGTCTATATATAGTATCCTTAGCTGAGGTTTAACATCGGTAAAAAGCTAGCCACCAGTATTGGAGTTTTTAGTCCTTGAACAACGGTACTGAGTTAATTTCACCTATTCATGATGTTCAATTTGCAAGGGTAGAACTATTTGACGGAAAAGGAGGATTAGTTGAAGGTTGTATACAGAGCGTTGATCAGACAGGATTGGACATTGTGGCTCTCGAGAATCCAAAGTCAGTATCTCCTCATAGCACGCAGTGGCGTATCTATGCTGCATTTGGTGAGATTTTATGAGCATTGTTGGTAGTGTTATGTATTGTTCATTTTTCTATCTTGCGTGATGTGTGCTAAATTCCTGCAATGTAGGTACTCTGAAGGGAGGCCGAGCCGATTGGCTTGTGGAGAAATGTACGGTATGTCTGCTCATGTGGGTATTGTATCTCTCCTGAAGCTTTCAGTAACGTGTTTGTTCACTCTCCCGTCCGATGGTCTCAGGAGTTAGGAGCCTGCAGTGTGACCCCCTTATTGACGGAACGGTCTCCTTCCATATCAGAAAATCGCGTGGACAGATTACAACGTGTCAGTTTTGCTGCAGCTAAACAATGTAAGCTTTTCAAGTACGATGTAAAATGTATTTGTGTACTAATTTTTCTTTATGGGTTCTTATACTATGTTTTACACATTAACTTTTTGTTTTAGGCCAACGGCTGCATGAAATGGTTCTAAATCCTCCTGCAAAAATTGGTGCACTTTTACCTCTTGTAAGTTGATTATTCCAATTGCTTCCCACAAAGTAAATTTTTTTACGCTTCGTGTAAAGCACATAGGAGGCATTCTAGAACTATTTCTCATCTTTGTCTCTGCAACACTTCATTGTTCTTGGTTTTGTGGTGCCACCGATGCTCTAGGTCAAAAATTCAAAGCTTGCATTTATTGCTGTGGCAGAAGCTAAACCAGTATTTAGTGCTTTAAGTTCCATTAAGAAAGAATCAGCTGGACTGATGATAATTGGACCAGAAGGAGGTTAGTATCTTTCTGCAGCTTTTCCTTCTCTTCCTATCTATTCCCAAGTATTGTGCCTTTACACTGATGTATTATAGTTGGTCATATGTCAAGATTTTATCATCTGAAGAGTTCAATTATCCAGGATCTGTAGTGACAAGTGTTAGGAGTTCTACATAGTTAAATCAATTCATACATACCAAAACATTCTTAAAGAGTAAAAGTAGTCATCTTCCAGTAATTCACAGACTAAAGTAGGCTCTGTTTTAATGTGAAGCTCTAGTTTTTGGACAATTTATGTTTCAAAGCTCATTTGGCCTTAAACTTCTAAAAGTGGCTATTTTAGACTTTTAGTGCATTGCTGTTTTTATTTTGGAACAAGCAGAAGACTCTTTGTTTCTTTGTAAATCTTAAAAGAGGGAACGGAAAAAAATTAGTAAAAAGAGAAGATGAAGAAAGACAATAACTGAAAAGAAAAAAAAGAAGAAAATGGGCACTATCCTGGTGAACTACACGTATGAAAAAAAAGGATGCAGAGCCAAAATAAAATAAAAGATTTGAGGATACTAGACAATCATGCGTACAACATTCAGATATACAGTTAATTTTATAATTATTCATTCAGATATTCAGATATGCTGCGCATGTGATTATTGTGAAATGTTTGATGCTCCATTACAGACTTAACAGAAAAGGAGTTAAACATGATCCTGGAGGCTGGGGCAACTGCTGTTGGGCTTGGACCGCATCGTCTACGAGTTGAAACTGCTACAGTAGCTCTGTTGTCAGCTTTAATGTTGTGGGGTGACAACCAGGAAACATCAAAGGTCTAGCAACACTAGCAGGCAAGTGATGTTTTTGCTGCTTTGGAACCTTTGTAGTGATCCTTTCAAATTCAGTTAGATGGCCTTGTTTGGAAGGGCAGCATGCTAACTATACTGATTTTTTCTCATCTCTGCTACAGGAAAAGACTAAAATGTGTTACAGGATTTCTGTTTTGGTTACTGAGATTAAGTTTCCTGGCCCCCACTTTTGATAAACCATTGATCACTAGCTCAAGAGGCTGAATTGTAATAACAGAGGTCCATGCTCTCGCCGATTTATACACTTATTTAGATGACAAATAAATAATTAGTTATGTTTTAGGTTGTGCTCATATGCTGAGGGCTCCCAAGAAAGCTGCAATTTAGCATTATCAAAGAATTCATAAGCGAAGGCGAAAGAAGAAAGGACAATGATCAATTATTTGCTTATTTGTGTCTGGCCTCACCCTCGCCCCATTTTGGGAAGCCCAGTGTGTTATCCTTGATACAACGTTTCTGAGCTTGTCCAGCTTTACTTGTCTTTGTAATCCCAAGTAAAATCTGGTGGTATTGAATCCCGCAAATGATTTTGTTAACTTTTGGCCAATTGTTAAAGTTTCGAATTTCTACCTCAGTGGTAAGTGATGGCGTTGAAGTCCTTTTTTAAGTTTGCGTTTGTGCTTACTTTTCTGCAAGTTATGTATAAACTTGTCTTCAATACGGAGAAAGTATAATTTACCTGCTCTTTTAGCCTTGGAATCCAATTATTATCCTTTTCCTTTTTGGTTTTATACATATTTTTGTATCTGATGTCAATGTATATTTGCTACAACTCCGACTCTTTTTCTGTTTGAACAGGAGAAGTCAGAAGCTTGATATTAGACTTAGTATGTGCACTTTGCAGTGATAATTTTGTAAGATGTCTGTATTTCTATCTATGTTTTATATTGGGTTTTTTGGTTTTGGGTCGCTCTATGTGGGCTGACCCAACCCATGTAAAAGAGATAAGGGAGTTAGTTATCTATAAAGAGTTAATGCACAATAAAAGGGGAGAAAAAATATGAAAAAATGGGAAGTTGGCTTTTCAGAAGAAAACCGTATCTTTTCTTCTTTAAAAGAAAAAGTATAAAGAAAAAGTTTGCATACGCTTTCAAAATACAACTTCAAGAGACAGAAAAACTTCCTCTTGAATTCTCCCATAAACACATACAAAATCTAGGATATTTAGTTCGTGAATAAAAGTTTGTTTCCAAAAGATTACGACTTAGGGCTATTATTTTGGTGGTGAGTTCAACAATTCTTCCGTTGTGTTGTTGATAGGTACGCTAATGTTGTTCTTAGCTTGTGATTTATTCTAATAATGGTATTAGAACCTACGTTGTTTACTCCTAATTGTTGCAAATGGCCAGTTCCCTTTTTTGGTCCAAACTTCTCGTAATCAGTAAATTCTTTTGTGATTAGTTATTTTGGCTTCTTTGATCTCTAGTGAACAATTGATTTCTTTTGAAAAATAACGCATAAAGAGGGCACATTGTAACTTTTGTCCACGAACAGATTCTTTGAAGCCAATCAAATATGTGATATGTATCGTCTATAATTGGCTTGACAGAAAATATAGAAGAGAATTTCCAAATTCATTCAAGTGAAATTGATAATTAGAAATAGTATTAAAGCCTTTTATTTTGGAATTTTGAAGTCTTATTCTTATCGACATGTGACTATGTTACTCTTTCTGTGGCTCAAGACTGAAGTGGAGTCTTTGTTATGCATACTGGAAGCAATAACTAGTTGTGGGTAAATTTTAGAGAAATTTTCAGAAACCACTATTATTTAGTGGCTATTAACTTCCTATAGCTATCATATACATAATTACTTCCTATAGCTACTATTCAGTTGTTACGGTAGTGTATCGGTGTATTCGTGCTGCTTTATTCATGAATACAGCAGAAAAAAACGCCTAAAATCAGGGCAGCCCAGTTGTACGCGCATGCATTCACATGTATTCGCTCTGATGTATTCATGTATATCAATACAACAGTAAAAAAGCGTCTAAAATCAGGGCAGTCCAGCTGTATGCACATGTATTCACATGTATTCGCGTCATGTATTCATGAATACAGTAACAACAATCACCTTAAGATTATGTATGTCCAGCTATCTAAGAGAGAGGAAAAACATAAATAACGTATTTCATGCATCAATGATAGTATATACCATAAATGCTTATTTTGCTATAAAATATAAAAGGTAGCTATAGAAAATAATATTTTAAAATAATTTTGATTCATAATAAATAGGGTGTATACATTTACTATAAGAGGTAAAATTCCCTAAATTTTATGGCCCTTTAATGTATTTCCTTATATGATAAAAGAAACAAAACAAAGGTATTGTGATCTTTGTTGGCCTGTATTATATGTATTATGTATTCTGGATACAATATAAAAGCAAAACAAGGAATTTGGTGTTAAGTTCTTTAAAATTAATATTTTAATTGCAAAGCCATTAACTGTTAATAGATCTAATTGTCTTGACAAATTGTTGTCATGAAGGAATAGTGCACCTTTTAGCGTATATGTGCAAGAGTTAGTAATCGATTGGTACATGGATGTCCTAGCAAACATGTAAAATGTTATTATTATATGTTTTAATTTAAAGAAATTTAAATTATATTGTTTATCTCTCCAATTACATATATTATTTATTATTTTATTTGGTAATAGATTGAGACTTGAAATAAAATACACAATAAGAAATAATTTTAATATTAATTAAAATATTTCGATATAGATGATGAATGGAAACGTAGTGACCTTTCCATTCTATACTAAATGTAGAATTAATATTATAATTAATTTTCTTGAGTGTGTAATCACATGCATAAATTGATTGCAGTATATATTCATGAGTTAAACTTATAATATTGTCTCTAATAACAGACATGGCATCGAAAAGTATTATTGCTGACTTGAACAAGGGTGACAAACCGAATGATGAAAACTACGACATCTGGAGTCGTATGACGTAGTATGTACTCGAAGAGTAAGATACTCTTGAAAGTATTAACCATGTTATGAGTCACCCAGAGGAGGGTAACACTGCCCAACACAGGAGGGATCTGGAAACTTACAATATTTGGAAAATGAGAGATTCCACTGCACGTGAAATTATTGTAAGTTCAGTTGATGATGATCTCATCCACGAATGTGAGCAATATCCTACTGCTCAAGCCATGTGAGCACATTTAAGAGAGGCATGTGGGGGTAAAACTGTAATTCGCCTTCGACAGCTGACAATCAATTTTGACACATTTCATTATCACAGTGTCAAGAAACATCTAAGGGTGATGTCAAATATGATTGCTCAACTCAAAAGTGTTGGCCATGTTCTCTCTGATGTGCAGTAGGTTCATGCAGTGATTCGGTCTCTTCCCAATAATTGGGAACATTTGAAGGTTAACTTGACCAACAATGATAACATCAAAACTTTTGCTAAAGTTGCACGTCATGTAGAGCTTGAAGATGAGCGGCTTGGTGCTTCCAAAGTTGTACCTGGTGCCTTTGTGGCTGAATCAAGTGGTAAAAAGAGATCAAGCTTCAAGCGCAAGAGAAACTGAAAAATGACGGAAAGGGTAAGGAAACCGGAGATGGATCCTCCAAGAAAATAAACAAGCCAAATTTCAAGAAAGGAGAACGGTTCTACAAGAAGAAAGACAACAGTAAGATGAAGTGCTACAATTGCCAAGTTCTAGGGAATTTTGCTCGTGAGTCTACTGAGCCGAAAAAGGTAGCATTTCAAAACACCATATCTTAGTGTTATATATGTTTCTAGCACTATTTTACTAACTGAAGCTTATCCTCTGTGAATTGTAGACTCAGGGGCCACCGACCATGTGATCCATGATAGAAAAGTGTTTACAGAGTTTCATCGAGTTCCACCTGGATCAAAGCATTTATATGTGAGAAATAATGCAAAGCTTGGAGTCAAAGGGATAGGCACTTGCAGAATGGACATGCGTGGTGCCTAATCTTTGATGTAGCATGACGTCCTATATGTTCCAGAGATTCGACAAAACTTATTTTCCGTGTCTGTTCTTCTAGATTTAGATTTCAATTTGAACTTTAGTCGCAATGGTCTTAGAATTACTCTAGACAATGTTCTTTATCGTTTTAGACATCGTTATAATTATTTTATTGTGTTAGATTGTAATCCTTCTACGTATAACTATTATGCTGACCGTTGTGTTATGGCATGTTATTCTAGTAATAATGGTATTGATGTTATTACATGGCATGCAAGATTAGGTCACATAGGGCAAGATTGAATGAATTGATTGGCAAAGGAAGGAAATTTAGGTACTTTCTCTAAAATTGAAATGCCAACTTGTGAAAACTGTCTTACCGGAAGGATTACACATAAACCTTTAAAAAGGCTAAGAGAGCTGATTTTCCATTGCAATTAATCCATTCTGATATATTTGATCCAATGAATGTGAGGGGCTAGATCTGGTGCTTTATATTTCATTACGTTTATTGACGATTTCAGGCACTTTGGTTATGTCTATTTGATTTCTCATAAATCTGAAGCACTAGAATGCTTTAAGAAATATTTAAATGAAGTTGAGAATCAATTAGATAAAAGGGTTAATATCTTAAGAACCGATAGAGGGCGTGAATATCTATCAAAATAATTTGAAGAACTGTGTAACGAAAAAGGAATCACCAGATAACTAACTATTCCTTACACACCTCAGCAAAATGGTGTAGCAGAAAGGGGGAATAGAAAACTATTGGACATGATAAGGTCTATGATGGCGCATGCAAATTTACCTATTTCTTTTTGGGGATATGCGTTATTGACTGAAGCCTACATATTGAATAAAGTACCTTTTAAATCAGTTTCTTTCACTCCCTATGAGCTTTGGACTGGTCATAAACCAAACATAAATGATTTACGACCTTGGGGTTGTGCTGCATATGTAAAATATTCTTTCAGCAAATTTGGTAAATTAGGTCCACAAGGCAAGAAATATATCTTTATAAGATCTTTAGAATACACCAAAGGGTATGTGTTCATTGGTGAATCATAGGTTGGAAGTGTTACTGAGATTGAATCACGAGATGTCATAATTCTGGAAAATGATTTTCCAAATGGCGAGGTAAAAATTGGAGAGCCTCTTTATGAAATGTTAAACTAAGCTAGTCAATAAGTGTCTTCTGACATGATTGATAATCAAATTGATTAGGATCTTGTTCTTGATCCGGGTGGGAGTGAGAACAATCAATCCCAAAATCCCTCTAAGGAATCTGAATTTCAACTACGAAAGAGTACCAGGAAATATATACCCAAATGTACTTATGAGCTTGAAGATTACGTTTTCTTGGTATCTCCCACAGAAATGGATGAGCCAAAGTCTGTGGCTGAGGCTATATCAAGCCCCGGAAAAGTTGGGTGGATGAAAGCAATGAAAGAAGAAATAGAGTCCATGAAAACCAACAAAGCCTGGGATCTAGTTAACCTTACGCCTGAGCGTAGAGCTATTGGGAACAAATGGGTTCTCAAAGTTAAACGCAAAGCGGATGGGTCAATAGAAAGATACAAGTCACGATTGGTAGCAAAAGACTTTACTCAAAGGGCTGGAATAGATTATGAGGAAACATTTTTACTAGTTATAAAGTTTACCTCAATTCGCTTACTTTTGGCCATTGTTGCACGTTTGGATTTGGAATTACATCAAATGGATGTGAAGT